TTACTGGCCCTACGGCTTTGATGGCAGCTTGTATAGTATCTTGAAATACAGCTTTGGAAGTGTTGAAATACAGTTGGTGGTTTTTACACTTTAAGATCTCAACGTTTCCCATAAAGATTTGGCACGCGATTTCTCAGCCTAATTCTGTCAAGTATAATCAAGAATATTTGGCGTTCAGAGTTTCGCCGAGCTTCCCTGCATTTTGTTTTGTGCGTCTTTATGTTGTTGCACAAATGGAGGTACTTACAATTTTACGCCGAACCTAGATCCTACAGAATGGTAGTACTACCCTCTAATTATTTGGCTACAACATTTGCCGATAATTGAAGCAGGTGTAAAATACCTTCCTTACTTCCAAGTGGTAAGCTTACCGCGGTATTGAGTAACTTGCATATCAATCCGTTCACTCCCTTCAATTTATTTGGGTCCTGGCCCCCAGTGAATGCGGCTCGACTTAGAGTTTCCTATTTACATGATGGTGTCCTAAAAGGCTTAGAGGGAACCTTCCACAGAAGTGCTTCCAGCTATTAATTTTGGCTGTCCTAATTTTTTCATCATAGGCATCATAGGTTTTGCCGGCTTAAAGCGTTCCTTAACCCTTCTTACATTCTTTCCAGTTCCTTTGGTCGAGGCCCTGAAGTTGCGCAGGATTTAAGATAGCCAATAGCGTATGAGAAGTTAAGACTTTTTTCTGGCTCAATGTCTTCACTGCCAGTTTTTTTTAGTTTCTCTTAAATTTCTTATAGAGGTCCCATTTTGGATCTACTGGAATTCCTAAAAACCTTGTCATTTCGTGGGAATTTAAACGATGTTGTAAAGCATGTGAAACTATGATTAGAGAAAGACCGTTGCTCTAGCACCATACAAAACATATGAAGGAAAAACGGGTTATTTTCCTAGGCGGACCAGTTCTAAACCAGAAATTTTTTTACTACTGTAGGCTTTTCCTGCAGGGTGTGGATATTTGTGGATGGATGTATGTAGAAGTATCTATCTAGCGGATATACATCGCAGATATCAAATCACCATAAACAAGGTTGCATAACAGACTCGCTCGCATTAGCAGCCGCCGACGCCACTACCTCCTTCGACACTGCCATCGACAACTATCGACTGACGAGCGCACCGATTCGCACCTTCACCGCAATTGGCAGAAATAATTTACACATTCAAATGAACATTAATGGCCGTTTTCACCGTCTCTGGTTAACACTAACTTCCAGTTAAACATCATTACCACATTGTCGACACAATGTTATATGCATGAAGTCAGTAACGTCGGTAACGATGTTTAACTGGGGATTAGTGTTAACCAGAGATGGTGAAAACGGCCCTAAGAATTGTTATTTTGTGGTATGGCTTGTCCGTCTGTGAGGCAAGTGCGACAAATGGCAACCAACAAGCAAACGTTTGAAGCGCACTCTCTGCGAGGGGAGGTCCACATCACTGGCATTGAAGCGTGTGATGATTCGCAAGAGAATGCGATTAAAGGCTTGCACGTGACAGCGACAAGTACAGAGAGTGGAAATATGTATTGGCCTGCAAATGCAAAGGAAAAATGGCAAAGCAATAACTTGACAGATGCAAAATAAAATATAGAAGAAATGCCAAATGGTATGCAAAACGCTAAAGTTGCTTACAAAGTGGTGCAATAATGCGGAGAATAGTATTTATGGGAGCAAGTTAGAGCGAGTGTAGTGTGACGCAACGAAGTGGCAACACAGAGGAGGCGGTCAAGTGCAACAAAACACAACAGATGACTCAATTTGCTGCATTTCATAGTCAATATGACAAAACATGAGTACATATTTTCATATGAAAATCGTAAAAAATTTTCCTTCAATGAATTTTCATACATTGTTGGCTATTTCCATTACATTTTTCACGCGCTGTTGTTAATTGTGCAGTTGTTGGTTGTTTTGCGGCTTTTTTGCTATCGAATGACAACTGGACGTTAAATATTTCCAACCATGCAACAACTTTATTTGCGTATATACTTAAAAGAGTATACATATACTAATTTAAACATAGATGCACAAAAACAATACACTACGTACATATGTATGTGTGCATACTTGAATTCAGTTGCTAGTTTGTGTTTTTTAATTTTTTTTATTTTATGCCTAGCGTATCGCACACTCAATGGATGATGTAAACAAGTGTTTGGCACTTGACAATCTGGGAGCTACTCAAGTGAAGCAATATTTTATGCATTTATTTATATACATACATACATTTGTACATTAGAGTGGTCCAATTTTTGTATGGGGGAAACAAGATTTCATCCTATAAAACTTAGTTTTTTCCTTTTGATATTTTTAATATCTATACCAGCTTTCCGTTTGCTACTGCAACTAATACAGGGTGCTCAGTGACCTTGAAATGCGCTACTGGATCGCTGTGAAACAAAAAATATTGGTGATTTTTATAAAAAGCTACTTTTGCCATGACAACTGAAGCTTGTGATGTTTTAATAGATAATTTAAATTAGGAATGTTCTCAGGTTACTTAACCAATTGTTTGATTAATATATGTACACAAAACTTCTAGAGTAAAGTATGAGCATCATGAGGATCCTCGAAATGTATACTTAGAAACGTAAGGTTTGATACCAGCACTTCTTTCGGCAAGAGGAAAAATTTTGGAAGGTGCCCATATCTCGAAAAAAATTTTTTTATACCACTCTAATGTACATTAGCCTGGGTCGAATATCCCTTTTTTTAGAATTTTGTTTGGTAATAGCTAAAATATTGTTCATAATGATCTAAAAATAATCTGTGTGAATGATGAAAATGGTTGGTCAATATCTTAGGCTCACCCAAGTCCATCGGACCACGCTAATGTACATACATACATACATATGTAAATGCATATGGGGCATTCCATTAGTTTTTCTAATAATTTTTTGAGTTATAGTACCAACTGAGAGGGGCACCCTGCTTTTTTCAATTTTTCGTTCATCCCGGGATATTAAATTTTTGAAATAAGCGTTCCTTTTTGAAATTTTTCATTCAAAAAAAAACCAAAAACAATTTTGGAATATGAAACCAAAAAAAAATCAAAACAGAATTTCTATAAAATTTTAAACTTTCTTTTATATACAACTAAAATATACCAAGCGTACTTCACCGCGCCTTAAAATATTTTTGTGTTGTTACTCCCTCCCAAGACATGTATGTCCTCATTCATAAAAAAAAAATGTATTTAAAGAGCTTTATGAAGGGAGATTTTCGAAAAAAAAGTTTCGATTTATGGATTCTTTATTTTTTATGAATGTAGGTTTTAGTTAAGAAAATAGGCTTTTCCTGCAAATTTAATTTATAATTGACTCTATTTACCCTATCTTATCAATTTCACTGAATTATATTTTTCAAATAGGCGGCAACCCTCCTAAAAAATTGTTTATACAGTAAACTTTCTTAAACCTCTTTAGTTTGATACCCGTATTGTTTTATTTCATTCTTTTTATCAATTTAGTAAAATACAATTTTTCAGACAGGTGTTAACCCTCATCAAAAATATTTTGGGCAATAGTCTTTCCTAAACCTCTTTAGTTTGATACCCGTATTGCAATATTTACCCATACCCATATTGCAATATTTAATTTATCTTATCAATTAAATTATATTAAAATTTTCAGAGAGGTGGCAACCTTCCCCAAAAATATTTTAGGCTGTAAGCCTTCTTAAACCTCTTTTTTTTTGACAGCCATACTGCAATATATATTTTATCTTATCAATTTACTTAAACTGCAATTTTCAAACTGGTGGTACCGCTCTAATTTTTCCCCGGTTCGGTTTCCGAGTGAGACAAAAATTCTAAATAATGAAAATTAATGGAAAACTAGCAAATTTTGTCGAACTCAACGCCCGAAACTCTAACTGGCGTCAAATTAAATGCATTGCTCAAAAAAAAACTACATTGCAGAGGTAGAAATTCTCTACATAATTTCAGTGGGAAGTACTACGCCAGGACTTTTACTTTCGCGTAATCAATTCTTTTCCTTAAAGTTTGATCAACTTTTCCAAAATGGCTCCCCGACGAGTATGGTCGTACTCACCTGTCGAATTTATATAAAGCAAATATTAGATTAAAATACACACTGTTCCAAGAAATGAAACCAGAAATATTTTAAAATTGTTGGAAATTACAATTTTATCAAATATAATACGACGAATAATTATAAAATTATTAAATTAGAAGAATAACCTGGTTACCTGTGAACCGCTAAGGTTCCAATCAAGAATACACAATACACATTTTACAGCGATATAATCAAGACTTAATAAGAAATAAAGATTTGAAGTCAATAAGACGTACATAAGCATAGCAGAAACTTTTTCTTGTGGTTCTGGGCCTCAGCGGTATTACCATACGTGTATCAGTGGCGCAACGTTGGATATAGCAATTTTAAGATAACACACTAAAAGATATATATTGAAAGCAGAGGAATAACCTGGCGGTGGTTTACTATAAACCGGCCAACCTACCCAAATCCCCCCCCAAAAAAAAAAGTTTTATCAAACGTTTGGTAATCTTACATGGCGTATGAGTAACATTATTTCCTGCTCGTATTTTGCAGAAAAAAAAAATGAATTTACCAATCCCATCGGCCCATTTTTCGCAAAGCTATGGGCATTTAAAAAATTGAACTTTTTTAAAAAAGAATTTTTTTTTAAGAACATTTTTTTTTTCAATCTATATCCCGAAACAGCTGAACAAAAAAGTGTACACCCTAACAAAAAAAAATATGAAAAAAATCAGAGATGCAAAAGCTAAGTGGTGTCCGAATTGGGCTGGAATGCCCCATATGTAAATGTTAAAGTTTATGCATATGTGCATACATACATATGTAAATATACAATTTATTTATTTGCAAGGTTATTGTATAACGGTTTCACACTCAACTTATTTTTTACAAATTGATTTTTCCCATACACTTCCTAAATAATTTATTTCAATTTACTTACATTCATTTTGTTCGTTTTCATTTTTAACAGGCCTGCAAAAATCATGTTAAACCCACTGTACCTGAAGACCATTATAAGGCAGTTTGCCGCGCGCTTGTGACTGAAGCAATTGAGTTGCGAATATTTCTGCAGCAGGTCTTAAATGACGGTAAGTGAGACGTCTTATTTATTACGAAGTGTTTCAGATTTAGTGTCCTTACATATGCAAATCTGAAGCCAATTTGTTGCTGCAAAATTCGATTTCCATATTTCCTTATTTATTTCCCTTTGACCTAAAGAGCCTGCATCCTCACTTGAATTAAAAAAAATCCGTAATTAAATTCGTCACTGAAATGCAAAGATCATAACTAATAAAAAATACAAAATTCACTTTTTGATTGATTCGATACATTTCATCGAATTACAACTCCCCGCATCGTTTTATGCAAAAAAAAATATTTGACTTCAGTGACGATGTTAAGTAGTAACGGCGTTTTGCTTTTCAGTTGGCGATATGTAAAGATGTGGGATCGTAATATTTTGTGCCGATGCAAGCCACGCACAGAGGAGTATTTGCATAGTAAAACCGGTAAAAATTTAATGATGTGGTTTTCTGCTCAGTAATAAAATACAACATGGAACTTAACCATAATTAGTGGTTTATTGAAGAAAAGACTAATTACACCTATCTTAGGATAATTTTCGTGACATATCTATGCATCAGTTACCTGACAATGAGAAAAGAGTTAGTTAACGTAACTCAACTCAACTTAAAAGAGCTTTTTCAGAAAAAGAAAAGAACGGAATTTATATATGTATATATAATAGATTTATATATATATAATAGATCGGATATGTTTAAAGATAATTGTATCAAAGCTGATAAATCTGTCTTTTGAACAGGTTTATTATAATTTGTATATACAAATACACCTCTGTGCGATGTGAAATTGAACTTTTGGTTAAGAAGTTGCACTACAAAATAAAAAGAACACAAGACAAATGCAGTGTGGTATAGACTTTAGCGGTTATTCATTGTAAAAAAATATATATTCCACTTCATAATTTTTTTTTAACTAATTTTATTCTTTTTCTACTTATTCTAAGGTGCCGACAATCTCCATCTAGAAGTTGATTCACAAACATCCAAACAAGAGTTGGCCAAATTAGGCTTCAACGATTGGGTAAGTTTTAAATGGTTGTTATTGAAAAGGGAGAGTTTCTTGGTTTATCCTTAAGCAATTTTCTTCATAAGACTAGCGAGAAAGCTATGGTCTGAATAACTGCAGCCTTGATAAAATGAAACTCGCTTCGAAATTTAATTTTTAGATTACTGCACTCGAAAAGAGTTCGGTCCTTAAATTTAAACTGTATTGAAGAGCAAGCCACTGGCATTTTGTTCTATTTTATTCGATTCGAAATCATCATTCGATCACGCTTGTTGTGATTCGGGCCCAGATTTTTTGACCTCCAACCGTACTGTTCAAAAAGTAACAGAACAGACCCCGTCATAAAATCGCCTGGAAAGAGAAGCTATTCTAATGCTGGAAAAGTTTTTCTGCGGTACAGAATTAATAATAAATGTTGCCTGTTGCTAGACTAGTACTTACTCACAAGATCTTAGCTTGCATGCCATTAAAAATTAATTTGTCCTTAAAGTGAAAAAAGGCTTAATCGGGTATATTGTCTAGGAACTGGAATTTTTCTCACAACACAGTTTTCTCTAACTGGTACTAAGTTAAAAATGTTTCATTCACATATGTATGTAATTATCTAATGACTGAAATTATTATACTTCAAGGCAAAGCACAGTGGTGCCACTTGTATGAAGCAATAGTCAAATATCGTTTTCTCTGAAACTATAAACGAGATTTCGCAATGAAGCTTGGTACACTCGTTGCTTTTTGTCCAGGCCTGAAGGCAGGTTAGCATTAAAACTACGCCAGCCTTCCATATAACGGCATTTTGGGAAATTGCAAAATCTTCTATATTTGTTTAACTATTGGACTGAAATTGCTAAAAATTTATATGTATGTAGAGGGAATTTTAAGAAAAAAATTTGTTTTGAAAAATTTTGAAAATGGAAATGGTCAAGTACTTTAGAAATATTCAGTTTTTGCGATATTTCACAACGTAATTATGCTAAATTTTTCAAGTTTGTATTTAGAGAAATATTTCAAAAGAAAATTCGATTCATCTAATAAATAGATTATCTCCTTAAGTCATTTGTGACTTCTAGACAGTATTGCCAGATTTTTTTTTTAATTGTAAATTTCCGGAAAAAAATGTATTTTCGACCAAAAAACTGTAACCTTCAAAAAACGAAGAGAGTTTTAAAAAAATTATGTTTGTTTAATTTTATAAATCATAAATAACAAAAATGATTCATTAAAAGTAAAATAACAGAAAGCGTTTAAATTTTACTTAACTAAACAAAAATGTATACATTTTGTTCTAATGAAATTCAGTATCATTATTTTTCGTAATATTCAGATGGCCTTGAGAAAATATTCTTTCCACATTTTTTGTGGCGACTGGAATAAAAAAGGACTGAAACTATTTGTTTCAAATTAATAAACACTGCTCCTTCATTGTCCTTTTTCCTTAAAATTTAACTTACAAAATATCGAAAGAGAAATTTTAATGCATTCGTTCAAATCGGAAATTTCGAAGAAACTGTAATTTAAAAAAAAACAGCAATTTACAGGTAAAATTGTGAATCTGGCAACATTGCTTCTAGGACATATTGCTTTCTGTAGAACAAAACGCTAAAGAATTTTAAGTGATGAATTTTAAGGGTGGCGAGCAAAGTCAAATCTTTTCTGAACCTAGTATGGGAGTGTCAGTTGTGAAAATACGTCGATGGATTTCTTGTGCGTCGATATTTGTCATCGATTGCATAAGATTTTTCAGATAATAGGGGTATTCCCGATCCGGTGCATACTGTCTAGCATGGTGCATGATAGACATTCAGTGCGGAGCCGCACCTTGCCTTCGCTGCCCCGCTTCCGTAAATGTCCCTATGTCCCTGGACCCATATTAGGGTGACCGGAGATATAGGCCAACTCCCTCCTACAGTCCTCCAATAGTTGAGATCTAAGAGGGGTAGAAGAGAGTGCCTATCCGAGAAGATATTCATATGAATATTTGGGAAAAAATTATAGGTGATTTTTTTGTCAAAAGATTTCGCACTGAATTTAAATGATTGTAAATCAAAAAAAGCTAAAATATGCGAAATCAATATGCACTTATTGTAAAATATAATGCAATATGCGCAATAAATATCCAAAAATAGGTATTTTAACAAAATATGCAAAATCATGCAATTACTGCAAAATATGCGAAAATATTCACTAACGATTGAATGCCATTTTAAAGGAAATTTCATGATTCGTAATGATAGCTTAACCATTTCCATTTGAATATGCTCAGTAAAAACACGCATTTGCATGAGATTCCGAGCCCTAATATGCAGCAATGACAGTGGCAAAAAACGAAAACGATTATTTTATGGCGGCGACCACTGTGCAATGATTTCACGCGTTCATCATACGCGCCGGTAATCACTAAAATGCTTATGAATGTGTCTCTGAGCAAGCTATAACCCTGCAAACCATTTTTTCAGAGTATTCTGAATTGTAGAGAAATTTTAAATTTTAATTTTAAATTAAATGAACAGTGCGCACTTGGATTCTTTTACGAAATTTCGGAAGAAAATCGGTAAATCAATGAAAATAATTCTGCTATGTGAAGAATTTCTTGGAAAATTTTTTCAGAATTTTCTTTATTTTTCGCACAGAAATTTCTCTACATATAATTTTCTTTGAAGATTCGTAAAAAAAATTTTTACAGAAATGAGATTCCTAAAGATTTCGTTAAGATTTCGGGAACTTTGGTTTGCAGGGAAAATAAGATTTAATTACATAGTCGATTTGAGTGAAACAAATGGGATTCTTTAAAGAATGTTAATTGTGTTTGTCAGAATATTTTATTTTACATCTCAGCCGCTCAATACTATAATTATGTGAAAAATCATGAAAAATAACTATTCAAATGGTCAAACATATAAAAATGTTAACGATTCTGTAGAATTCTGCACAATAAAGTGGCGAATGGTATTTCCAAAAATGAGTCTGATATACTCCGAAAAGATGCGCTGAATTAATTAATTTAACTCGTGTCATATCTACTACCAACAAAAACTGATTTCTAAACCACATTATTACATACTTGTTTCTCCAAATTACTTTCGCTTTTACCTTGTCAGAATGCGAATCTAGATTTATAGTCGATTTCGTTAAAAAATTTCTAATAGCATGAGGTAAGCATTTTTTATACTCATATCTTGGCCAAAAATATTTTTACATGTGAGTGTTATTAGGTTTGCATATATCTACATAAGGGTGGCTCAATTTATATGGGAGATTTTTTCAACTATGCGCGTGTAGCACAGAAGGATTTTACGTGTAATTATAAGCAAATTTTCCGAAGAAACCATGTGTCTAAAATTAATTTGGAGTTTTCCAAATTGCGAAAATAGGTTCCTTAGCATTTTGCGGTAGTGTCGTAAAAAAGTGCTTAAATTTTTTAAAAAAGCATGCTATAAAGAATTTTTTTGTTATGAGGAATCCATTTCTGCTCTTATCTTTTTCCTGAAACTTCAACCAGAGGACGCAACAGTGAAATTTTCCACTTTTCTTCGAAGCCTGTTTTCGCAATTTGGCAAACTCCAAATGGATTTTAGACGCATGCTTTCTTCGGAAAATTTTCTTATAATTACACGTAGAATCCTCCTATGCTATACGCGCATAGTCAAAAAAAAATTGACCTTCCCTAATGTATATATGTATATACATTTGTACATATAAACAAGTGTGAATGCACTTACACTCACAACCACAATTACATAAAAAATAGTCTTATTGTTTTACTGTCCACCTTTATGATTCTCGTTTAATTTGTGTATGTTATTACTCGCTTTTTAAATGCATGAACATTCATTTGGTTATATAACGCTTTCTTTTCTAAGACTAACTCTTGGCTATTCACATTGTTTAACTGTCTCAAATGACAATTTACAAATGAAATGCACGATTTTGTGGTAGCGTGTATATAACCTGACACCAAATCTGCTCTTTTATAGACTTTACAGGTATGTTTCATTACTTCATAATGAAGACCAAAATGAAATGATCAATCAAATAAACTCTATAGTGCAAATGTATATGAAAATAACGAAGAAATGTGAAATTACTAGAAACCTAGGTACTTATACATATGTATGTACATATGTACATATTAGAGGGCTGCATGAATTCATTCAAACTTCTAGCCAAACAGAGTACAGTAGTTTTGAATATTCTACTTCACATACAAAACACTCAGCGTTTGGAATTTTGTAACATAGAAAGAATATTTTTGGATATTCATACAAAAAATTGTTATTTCCCAATAAACATTGGGCTTGGTTAACAATTCGAAAATGATTGGAAAACCAATATTTTTTTCGAGCCTCACCTTCAATAACTAATGTGGCATAGATTAGTATTCGATTCGAAAACTAGGCCATTCTCCATCAAAGCAGAACCTTCGTTATCCAATGTATTTTTCCTTCGTTATGAATTCGAAATACCGCCCATTATCGAATTGAAAATTTAATTAGAGAGAGTTTAATTATGAGTTCGTTCTCAGTTCGATATGCATATTGGATATCGAAGGTTATTTTCGAGCGTTCGCCAAAATGTTTATAGGGTTATTTAATTCAATCTATTTTCACTTTGTTTGAATATTGTTGTGTCGGCACACATATCACAATAGTTTTTCACTCAAATTCAAAAAAATGTTAAGCCAAAATCATTCATCCGTTTTGTATATGAATAATTCATAAGCCGATTTGAATGAATTCATGCAGCTCTCTAGTACGTACATATGTATGTACTTACTTATCGCAAATGTTCTTTAAAAGTGTATCAAATAAAAATTCCTCATTTGCCAGAAAATACCAAAAACGATTTCAGAACTCAAGTTAATCAAGTGGGGAAAAGAAGTTTCAGTATTGCTTTCTTTTGCAACAATTAATAAAACATATTGCTATAATATAAAAAAAATTTAATTAAATGCAATCTTTAAAAGAAAATAAAAACTGAAAAAATATCAAGAAATCGAATAATAAAATTTGCAGAGG